ATCCCTCTGACCGGTCCCAAGGACAGCAATAGACAGAGCATTGTAAGTCACTGTGTCCATCAAAACAGGAACCCTTGGCTACAATAAATATAGTCCTCTTCTCCTTCAGATACTTGTTTGCCAAAGAGCACTTAATAAAGTCAGAAGCTAATCATAATAAAGATAAAATGACGTAAGTAAGGGTTGGAGAGATGGCACAGAGGTTCTTGCCTGAACTGTTCTTGCAAAGGACCTGGGTTCTATTCCCAGCACCCACAACTGCCTGTAACTCCAGATCCAGGGGACCTGATGTCCTCTAACCACTATGGGCACCTGCACACATATGGTGACATAAACTCATGCAAGTATATATGCATACACATAAATTAAAATAAATAAATAAATAAATAAATAAGCAAATAAATATTTTTAGACATAAATAAGTGTGCACCAAATAACACAGCATCAAAACACATAAAGCAGCTGGACAATGGTGGTGCAGAGGCAGGCAGATCTCTGTGAGTTCGATGTCAGCCTGGTCTACAGAGCGAGATCCAAAACAGTCAAGACTACACAGAGAAACCCTGTCTTGAAAAAACAAATAAAAAAGGTGTGGTGGGGGGTGGGAGTGGGGATGGGGGTGGGGAACTCTAGAATAGTTTGCTGACAACAACGCTGATGTGAACCTGAAGATGCAGGTAGACACACACCTCAGTTCACACCCCACTCAGGCTGGCTCATTTTCTGTGTGTTCTGCTGTCAGGAGTTATACACAAACACATCCAGATGTGCACATAGCTACACAGACACAGAGCTGAGGGTGAGTCTGGAGAGATTCACACCCAGCTGGTCCACTTTCTGGATGTGTTTGTGTCTTTGTTGTTTTGCTTGTTTGTGGAGAATGTCTGTCACGTGCTGCTGACACAGTTTTTAAGGGTAAGGCACAGAATCCTGGTCAGTTGAAAGTTCACATGATGTAGATTCTAATTGAATGGGACTCTCATATTCAGGGAATTGTAAGGATTCAGTAAGGAAACACACTTGCTGTGGACATAGGAAACTCCAGGCCCACATTGAACATCCAAGGAACAGTAAGTGTTGTTATTGCTGCCTGCTTCCCAAGTCCAGCCCATGCCCAATTCTCAGCTGTCCCCTCCTGCTCTCACCCCACCCTGGCCTCATCAGTGTCAGCAGAATTAACACCCCAGTCTCCTAACAGCACTTTGGCCCCCCAAATCTTCCAGCACCTCCTCCTCCTCCTCACTCCTCCAACTATGAAACTCCCATGATGCTTTAAGAGTAAACTTCAAAAAAGGTTGAGGCTGAGGGGTAAACTACTGTGTAGCATGTGAGGGGCTTAGGGCTCCATCCCTAGCAACACACACACACACACACACACACACACACACACACACACGTTCATACATACTACACACTCCCATGCATGCACGGATGCACATATACACAATGACCATGTCATTTTCCTATTCCTCTTCTTAAAACTCTCTATGGTTCCTGGTTTTCCAAAGGATAAAATCCAAGTTTGACACCTAACCCTCAGCCAACCCTTCTACATACAGACTGTCACCTAAATTCTCCATGTGTTTGTCTTTCCTCCAACCATCACTGGGCCACTTTTTCTTCTGTTCAGTCCCTTCTCCTCCTTCAAGGTTTGACCCAAATATCACTTCCACTGGGAAGTCTTCCCTGGGTGACCCTGGACACAGCCGTGTTTGCCGAACACCCTCAGTCTGGCACAAAGGAGCCCCTCACTCACCTTGACCTATACAAACATCTCTAAATTTTCCCATCTCTCTATAAATAAATATATATGCATATATAAAACAAATAGCATTATTTATGATTATGTTTGTTTGTTTGTTTGTTTGTTTGTTGTGTTTTGAGACAGGGTTTCTCTGTGTAGCCCTGGCTATTCTGGAACTCACTCTCTAGACCAGGCTGGCCTCAAACTCAGAGATCCGCCTGCCTCTGCCTCCCCTGTGCGAGTGCTGGGATTAAAGGCGTGCGCCACCACGGCTTGGCTGTTTATTTTAATTTTAAAAAGATTTTTTAAAATTAGCCAGATGTCGTGGCACAGGCCTTTAATGGCAGCACTTGGGAGACAGAAGCATGTGGATCTATAAGAGTTCAGTCTCAAAAAGAAAAAAAAAGAGCTTTTTCAAAACTACATGAATGTGAGGGTATGAATACAGGAGAGCGGGTGCCCTCAGAGCCTATGGGTGCTGTGTTCTCCTGAAGCTGGAGATCCAGGCAGTTAGGAGCTACCTGACAGGGCTGCTGGGGATGAAACTTGAGTTTTCTGCAAGGCAGTATATGCTCTTAACCACTTGGCCATCTCTCCAGCCCTGTTTTTTGAAAACACTCCCACGGAGCAAACAGAGTAGCTCGTTCCTACAACCCCAGTACTCACAGGTTGGGACCCTTGGGCTCCCCGCCTTCAGTCCTGTGCCCTCTGCACCTCTAGTTAACGTCCGTCCCTACACAGGGTTTGTGGACCAGCTCTGAACAGGACTGGCCCACCTGCTCTCCACCTTTGAGGTTGTCTTTAGGGATTCCATTCTACATCAGTGAGTCAGTTCCTTCGTGAGAACCCTCAGAGTCCCCACTCCTCCATCTTTGCGAACCATGTCACACGAGGGGATTGATTGCCTCAGGTTTGAGCTACATAATGACTTCCAGGTCAGCCCGTCCATAATGTGAGACTCTAAAAAAATAAAAACAAAAAGGTGGGGCTGGTAATCACAGTATTGGGGCGTGGGGGGTGATCAGGAGGATCAAGCATTCAAGGTCAGCCTGGGCTACTTGAGAACCTGTCTCAAACAACAATAAAAATACTTGTGTGGGTTTGCAATAAATTCTCATTGAATTCTATGTTTCCTTCTTTATGTATTTTGTATGTGCACATATCCTCCTGTGTGTGTCCTGTGTGTGTGTGTGTGTGTGTGTGTGTGTAGAGGTCAGAGACATTATTGGCTGTCTTCATCAATCACTCTCCGCCTCTGTAATTTATTTAATTTTATTTTATATGCATTGGTGTTTTGCCTGCATGTGTGAGAGTGTTGGGTTCCCTGGAACCGGAGTTAGAGTTGTGAGCTGCCGTGCGGGTGCTGGGAATTGAACCCGGGTCCTATGGAAGAGCAGTCAGTGCTCTTGACCTCTGAGTCATCTCTCCAGCTCTTCAACCTTAGTTTCTGAGAGAGGATTTCTCACTGAAACTGAAGCTCATTGGCATGCCGGCAAGTCCCAAGGATGCTCCTGCCTTAGTCTCTCCAGCATGGGATTACAGGTGCCTGCTACCAGGCCCAGCTTTTTATGTGAGAACTGGGGATCCAAATTCTGGACCTCACGACTGTGCAACAAGCACCTTACTCACAGGCCACCTTCCCAGCCCTTTCTTTGTGTGTCCTGTGGCTGACAGTTATTTCTTCCACTCTCAAACCTTTGTATAAGCCCATAAGAAGCCTACAAGCCCTGAGCTGTGAGGCTCTAGTATCAAGAATTAGGAGATGCCCAACACTGCCTCCATGCCGCGCTGATGTCTGGCGTGTAGTGCTTATCCATCTGTCTCTTCCTTGGATCTGGGTGCTTCAGAGCAAGGCAGAGCCAGGCTCCTGTGTCCTTGCAGTTGAATAAGTTCATGACTTCTCAAGCTACCAATCCGTTTCTCCTGTCTCTGAATCTAGCACATTGCAGCCCTTGCCTGCTTCTGTCAACTGGACCACTACAAAGCCCTTCTCTCTGAAGTTCTCTGGGCACGACACAGGGCACAGTGGCCAGAACACCATATGCTCACACGCCACCCCTCCTGAGCCCTGAGTAACTTCCATCACCCCTGCTTTATAGAAAAGGAGGCTGCAGCTAAGAGGGAGAGACGGGGTGTGCACAAGAAAGAGACCACAACTCGAGTTTGAAGATGACCCAGGACTGTGTGATCCCAGCTTTTCTGATCTTTCTCAGCATCCCATCAGCAACCTGGCCCGAGGCAGCCATCAAGCGTCCCTCACTCCTTCCCTGTTCCCACCAAGACCCAGACGTCACCTCCTCCATACACTTCATCTTGCCAGAGGTCGGGTTGGCTCCACAGCATCATTCAATTCCACGTTCCCTGAGTTCCCCTACATGCCAGGCGGGGAAAACAATGTATGCCAAGGCCATCAGCTCCTGAGCCACTCGGGAGTGGTGGGAACTTGTAAGCGTCCCTGAGATTGTTCTATGACCTGTGTCTCCTGAGGATCCAACACCCACCACAGCTCCAAGCTGAGCGGGGAAACCCTGGGCTGCCTACTCTTCAGCCATGTACCATCTGTACCTCCAGTTAGAGCCTCCATCCTATACCA